TCTACCGTTTAGAGAGCTTGCACACTATATTTTGAAGATCCGAATAGTAACATGATTTTCATCCAGCTATTTGGTTATTTTTTTTCATGTTTGTTCAACTTTCGTGGTATTGTGATCATGAGAGTAGCTTCGTGTACTGTTCTTGATCACAAGACCAGGAAATATTCCCTAAACAAGTCAAGCTTGATCTAGAGAACGCAGACATAAATATGCGAATAAGCAGTACGTGATTAGGCGTTAGAAAAGCGTTTCCTGTTAGTCTGCTGTTCTGGAGGGCTCTCTTCATATTCCATTATCTCTTCTAGACCATGCTTTGTTTTACCGAACCCAAGTTTTATAATTGTAACAGCAGATTAATAGTTTGTGCTCATGTATCCTCATTGGAACAGCGTTGTAACCACCAAAACAGAATTCAGGATGAACGACAATTTCCAACTTATAGGAAACAACTGAGATTGATTCCTTTGCAACTGGTGGAGATCCGATGTATGAACGATTACAAACACTAGAAGCATTCTAGCAAATGACTCTGTAGCTGTACTACAATATGTCTGGAAAATAGCTGGTGATATGTCACCTGTGCAGTATGTTTCCAAATTCAAAGGCATCTCTTCTGATGTTAATCCACATAATCGGATTTTGAAGTCAACGTATGGTGGCAGTCGTTCGGAAAACCTAAGGTACAGCGGATTAGAGTTGAGCATAGTAGACATGTGGTCTCTTCACTCAGTTTGGAAACATTCCGTTGAAATATTTAGTTGCTCATTGCAATGATAGATTCTGTCCAGAAGAAATTGTGATATAAGCTATGTGCAAATTGTTAGTTGTAGTATATAATTCACACTACCTCTGGTTGATACCAGCTAGTGAGGGCATCGTATTGTTCAGGTTGTTGAGACAACTCCATGAGGTAATTGCTTGATTCTGACCTGAATGAGAAGACTTCCCGTAGTGTGGCTTCTTCAATGTGTCTACGGTAATCTTGTGACGGAAGAGGCCCATTCGGTTCGGTTAAAGTTATGGAAAAAGGAACAATTAACGGATTTTCTCTAATTGACAAAAAAGTTGTTTGTAGTTAAACGATTGTAAGAAGAGAAGGAATCTCAAGCTGACAATAGCGTTTTTCTTTTGATGGCCACCGACTTTAGCACCTTGATGAGCACTGTACATGTTCAATTGAAATCTAAAACAACATGAATTGACTAATAGATGCAAGACAATTGAAACTCATCTCGATTTTCCATTAACAGATGTGTTTTTCTACTCAATTTCAGTGAGCACACCTGCTTGTATAATGCTAATTGAACCTACACACTTAGTGGGTGGTACCGATAAGATCGACTTAATTCGTGATAGATTATCCAGCTACAAACTTTTTGAGCATCTGGGTATAATTCAACAAAACTTTTTGACTAATCGTTCAGGTCAGTGTAGACACAGGTGTCAAACTTCGTTATTATCTCCCTCTGGCATCTAGGACGATACAATGGATGAACGGATTTGAAGCTGTTGGATATGATTTGGAAAAATAACAAAGAAATCTTCTTCCAACAACTACTTGGCATTCATTTCGTAATTGAAGCTAATGCTCAATATGCTAATTGTTTTCTTTCTTCAGGCTTCAAATCCGCATAAGTCAAGAGCTAGTTCAAGAGCCCTCAATAGCATCAGGTGCTACTGACTTATTCTGGTTATGAATGAGTTTTGCCATCCTAAAATATTCTGTTTTGTAGGACGAAGAACAACTTAATTATTAGAATATGCTCATCTTCTCAAATATCTGTTTGACATTCGAAACCGATTCTGTACCAATTAGGAATCTCTGCTTTACGAACATCTGCATCTGCCTGGATCTACCGTATGCTGCTTATGCATGATTGTGTGCCTGAGCTGACCCCAAAGGCTCCGCCCGGTCTTCTAGTTACAGCTCCACCCAACTATATAGAGGATATTTCCACATCACCTTGCCAGAAGCATTCCGCTGTGTGAAGCCAATCATCATCTGCAACATGTCTGTTTCACAATATTCCCGCGATCAAGTAATTGGTGTTTTTCTCACCTTTTTAAAACCCAATTTCGTTCCAGTTAGATACTCTCTGCATGGCATTGTACAAAGCTGAAGATGGGATAGCTTTGACAAAGTTGTTCTCTGATAATATGAGTAATCCACTCGTTAACCCATTGTACGCCTCACAGCCTGTACTGATAGGTTGGTTCCACATTTAGAATTTTCCCTATATCGTTCATACTTTCCAGCTTACATATATACCTTACTGTTCATGGGAAAGTTCGATCTTATGTTCGAAATGATAGCGAAAACAAGTTTTGAAGAAGATTACTTCAAAGAGTTGCAAGAGCTATGGTATCAAGGAAGGTACAAAGAGGTAACTTTTCTATCATTCGAATGATACTGAGCCTCTGTCTTCAAGAATGCTGTGAAACGAGGGAAAGAGCTTGGTCCTGTAGAAAAGTATCGGCTGAGAAGAAAGTATCCACCTCCTGCCAGTATCTGGGACGGCCAGGAAACTGTTTATTCTTTTAAAGAGAACAGCCGAAAGGTTTGTATTCTCTTTTAATTTGTTCTCTCTGTTACCCTGCGTTTGTTCCAGAGACTCAGAGACTTCTACCAACATAATCCTTATCCCACCTTGGAACAAAAGAAAGAAATTTCCAGAGTCACAGAGTTGAAAATCGTACAGGTAACTCTGTTCACACTTCAACCACTCAGTGTATCGTTTTAGATCTCGAACTGGTTCAAGAATAGACGACAACGAGACAAAACCTCTAAAGAACAAGCTTATCAAAGAGAAACTTTACAACAAACGTTAGCTTATAACAATATTCCCATGATGCAAACAGTGCAGCTTATTCGTCGTTAACCAATCCTGTGATCTTCCTTGTATTATATGTTTATTGTGATACTTATAACTTACCCATGTTATGTTTGAAATAATGATAAAGAATCAACTTCAAGATTAGAAATTCAAGTATTCCATTTATAAAGTCAAATTCATTAGTTGCTTCAAAGTGAAAAAAATAACAGAAAAAACAAATATGTACAATACACGGTCAAGTAATTCGGATGCTTCAATAAGCTATAACAAGCAAGATCTTTAAACTATCTACATAACTATGATACATCATTCTCTTGAGGAAGAGCTTCTTTCGGAATGTGTGAGTAACATATTAGAGGATTGGGAGCAATCATGATTTCCCAGAAATAATAGTCAGGCATACCTAATTGCACCAAACTGTCCAGTCTTGGTTTAGCTTTTATTGGTAAGACCTTCAATTCATTGATGGTCCGTCTCTTGTCACATATCACACATAAATAATTTGTTGCGAAAGAGAACATATCCTGATCAACCTAAGAAAACAGTTTTTCGGTTGTAAAAATTGATCTTACTTCGCCATCAGGAACCTCGCCAGGCTTAGACAGTACATCTTCAGACGGCCCTCTCATTTCGGACCATTTAGGCATTTTATAAGGCTGAACATATAGAGATGTGCTACTGTTCCTCAATAGCAAACTCACTAAAACTTTTCTTCTATCATAAAGTATCTTCTTGCCTTTAACAACCATAAAAGCTGATTTAGGAAAATGTAGACTGCATAGTTGCACCTAAACGATCAAGATTCAGATGAGATGATGAATTGTTTGTGAAAACTGATGGCTCTAACAGAACAATCATAGTCACATGTGCAACCGCTCTCAAAGTTTGCTTCATTCAAAATGATTATGCTGATCTGTTTCAACGGTACGCATAGCTTCACGTAGTCCACGTAATCCACGCGGTTTACGTGAAATTATTCGTAACACAACTCACGTTATTTCTACTGATGAGGGCTTCTTCAAATTGCTTCGGCAGTTTCAATTGAACAATCATTGCTCTCCTAGTACTTTTACACTCTGAACATATAAAAGATATATATAGTATATTTCAATGGCAACACATACTCGGTATTTTGAAACGACCATTCTCATATCCACCACAAACATGGCACTTGCCACGTGGGCTGAAGTTGAAATCTGAATAAGAATCATATTAACAGTGAGTGACTTAGCACTGACCAATTGGTTCACCTTCTTGTTCTGTTGTATCACTTAGCCTGATGATATCCGCGCCAGTCACTTCTGCCATAAAAGAGATATGTCTGAACAAAAGAGAAATATCAAACAATGGAATGAACTTATTGAACATCAACGTAGGAGTTCGAAACGAAGTTATTATTTGCACACGTAAAATTGAATAAAATAATGGTGGAAAGGTCAATAGACTTCAATTGTGAGGACATTGGTCAACTGGCGACAACCGTTTTAGGTGAAAATAATAATCGTTAAGACTACCCCGCGTGTACCCGGCTCCCTCATTCACATACAGCTCGTCTTACTGCTAATGCGCATATTATTATTCCTTAACTTGTTCATCAACTTCTTTCTTATTTCATCTAAAGAATTTGAATGCGTTGACTACTCACGAGACTGTCACTTGCGAGCTCATCTTTGTAATAGTGAAAATGAAGTTCATAGACAACTAATGCAGAATAGTTGCCCGAAAACTTGTGAGGCTTGTCCTACTACTCCTGTGCCTTCTTTGATCCAAACTTCCTCTCATATGGCACCCCGCAGAAAATGTATGGACCAAGCTGACGACTGCGATGAGCGAAAACATTTATGTAAGAGAAACACATATAAAAGGATGATGACCACACAGTAAGCAAACTTGAGCTCAGTAAGAGTTTCAGTCATTTCTTATTCAGGTGTTCTTTGACATGTGGCTTCTGTTCTCCTGAAGACTCGAGCGAAATTGAACTTCCAGTTCGCAAAACATCAGCGTCGAAGAAAGAGATTCAAGAAAAGATTCGTGAGTTCCTAATGCTGTTCTCCGAAACTCAGCATATTTTTAAGTAAGAGGTACAACTACATTACGGGAGCTCGAAAGAGGAGGAGTTACTTTGGAAGATCTCGTGACTCTCATACGCGCACAGGAAACAACAACAACGAACACAACGGTAAGTTTTTTGATCAATTGAGTCTAACCTTAACCTCACTTTCAAGCTGTGCCAAGACTTAGGATATGACTGCATTGAAAAACAAGGCTTGTGCGCTAACAAAGCCTACACAACTGTTATGGCGAGAGTTTGCCGTAAGACTTGCAGCTTGTGCTGAACGACAACTAAGTAAGTACTTCGCAGCGAAGAACTGTTCTTTGAGTGAAATGTAATCAGAGCATAAAGATTTATATCAACAACGTGTAAAATAACAACAAAAAACCTAAGGAACATCTAGCGAATTTCATCCGAGTATGGCATCATTTCATTTTTTTTCTTCAGCAGTTTGATCGACCTCTCCACAGTCAACGATAGTGACTCTCTCTTTGGGTCTACCAGTACGAGAGCCTTGAGCTTCGATCTTAAAAAAAATTATTAGATTGAATATCTGATAATAATCATATCAAACCTTTCTAACAATGGAAAGACCATCAGTTACTTGACCGAAAACAACATGAGCCCCATTTAACCTGAAAGCAGAACTTACTTCTCAACCTTAATAAACTAGCCAAACCAAGAAGTCTCAGCAGTACAAATAAAGAACTGAGATCCGTTTGTGTTTGGACCAGCGTTAGCCATAGATACAGTTCCTGGCCCGGAGTGTGGAATCTCGAAGTTTTCATCCTAAACTGATTTTTCTACTGGCATCCCCATATTGGACTTACATCAAACTTGTGGCCATAAATAGATTCACCTCCACGTCCGTCTCCTAAAGTAAAATCTCCTCCTTGAATCATGAAATCGGGGATGATTCTGTGGAAGTGAGATCCTTTGAAGTGAAGAGGAAGTCCACTCTGTCCCTTTCCTTTTTCACCAGTACAGAGAGCTCTGAAGTTTTCAGCAGTCTTAGGTACGACATCATTGAAAAGCTGGAATGGCTAACTTCAGCTGGGATAACGAAACACACAAACTTCAATGGTGATTTTTCCTGCAGGCTGGTTTCCGATATTGACATCGAAGAAAACTTTCGATCTTTTGTTAGAAGCAAATCTACAAGCTGTGGAGAAAAGCTGGGCAGATCTGGACAGGAGTCTCATTCTGAATGAACACAACACTGAATATCAGAAGAGTAAATGGAATGTAAGTATCAAAGCCGATAAACGAGTCGAGTATGAAGATCTACAGTAAGTGAGACTTTATGAAAACAAATAACAACAACAACAATTCACCCACTACGCAGTGGCTAGGATAAGTAAATTTTCCGGTGAAACATCGTAACTCGTATACTTCAGGACTTTCGTTTTGAATCCCATTTTCGAGATATACCTCGCACGACCCATCTCGAACAAAATCTTAGCTTTTCGGCCTGATCGAAGCTTACTGACTTGTATTTCATCATCCAATATTAATTTTGGCTTTTTCTTTTCTACTTCTTCTTTCTTCTCCTCCTTCTAAGAACAATAACTCATTGCAAAAAACAAAAACTTTGTTTTTACCTCCCCATTGTTTTCGGAAAAACCACAGTTGGCCCAAGACGCCACGTGTCTCAGAGCAGCGTAATCAGCGTCCGACTCAATTCCCCATTCTTTCAAAAATTCTTGCCCGCAATACTGAAACGAAAGACAGTGATATTGATCATATGATATGCTCTACCTCTACTAAACGACTTTTATGATGGCAGCATGGGACCAATACAAAACCATCAAGAGGCAATCCATTCTTCACACCGTTCAAAAGACATCGAATCCCGGCGTCTGTGGCGCTTCCACAAAAATGTTTACAAACTGCCGATAACGAATCTGCTCCCTGAGAAATCATATGTCAATTTTATGAAGATGACTATCCAATACCTTTAGTGAGTCAACGGCAGACAAATCAAGATGCTCTATGGAACAACGTATTCTTTTCAAGCTCACGGAAGGATCTTCCTAGAAACAATGCACACATTTTATCAAAAATCTGATTGATCAAACTTGATACTTGAATGGCTTTGTTATCATACTTATTCCTAGACCCACTCCTATCCATTAGAAAATATTTACACTTAGGAGCTTGCTTAGCCATCCAATAAGAGAGTTGAGCCTATGAGGAAAGATGATGGAGGGAACCCAAACCAATAATACCTTTCCAGCTCCTAACTCAAAAAGACAAGAAGATTCATTGTTTCTCAACAGCTCGGAACTGGTTAGATGACCTGCAGAGAGAGAGCGATGGGATTGTAAGACAACCCAATGATCAATACCTATGATGGAGGCTATTTGCACTAAATGCTTCTTGTTTTTATCATTCAACTCTTGGTTCTTCTCTAGATACTCCGTTATCAGAGGAATTTCCAAGAAAGCTTCTTCGACTTCTGACAAGATTGTGTCATGGCATTTATTAATTTTATCAATGACAGCTGATATTTCTCCCTGAAACACAACAGTCTCGATAGACATGTCAGCAAAAAGGTTACGGCTGTGGGTCTCAAGTCAATCTTGTCATCGTAGCGTGTTTCTCCTTTCACACAATTAAAACCTTCTTTAATCCAAGGCTCTTCTGGCAATCTTGAATTACAACTGGAAACAAAAGATAATACTCTTCCCAGACCCATGTTCATGCCTTACACTTTGAGATGTGAAGCTAACTGAGTTCTAGCCACAGTGTGCTTGGGATCATTTGGACATGGTATCCTATCCTATCAACCCAGGATTTTTTTTTTTTCTATCCGATTATACCTCATTGGAAGAACTGAAAACGGCATGCTCACCACAGAATTTATTTCCGGCTTTAACAAGCATCCGACAACTCCTACCCTTCTTAGGTAGTATATAAGAACATCGATGTAACTCGGACGGTTCAGTAGGCGTCATCGCCTAAGTAGATGAGCCTCAGATGAAAGCTGATGAGGGGAGACGGATAACGAAGATGGTATCAACCACGCAAAGAACAATCAATTCAAAATGATAAATATATATTAATAGCTCAGACAAAAGAGCACAAAATGAAATATAATATATATATATATACAATCTAATTAAACATTAACAATAACTAAACGACAACTATAAAATAAGTCCATAGTTATACTCATAATATTTCACACACAAACATCTACTTTAATGGTTCCGGGAATACATACCCTATCTGAGAAAATACAACAAAATGACTAAAGTACTGACGACACACATGGAAGTGAAAGAAGGAATTGCTAAGACGCGCGTGCATCAGTTCACCCAATAGTTTCTCCATACAAGCAGACGCGTCTGGAGTTCGAGGGAACATGCTAATAACACATATGATTGAATACATGGGGAGGATATATATGAAAATGACAATGTAATTAAGGCTCATCCACTCTAGTGCTTGATAGGAGTGATTGTGAAACAACGAATGCCCATATGCTCACAGATTTGTCTTGTTATTACCCAACAGTAGATTAAGAGAGAAGCATACGCGTAGATAGTACAATAGTTCAACAGCATTTTCTCTGCGAAAACGAAGTCATAATATCTGTAAGTATCAATTAGGGAAAACGGACAGTCCATCACTCTCTTACTGGTTAAGAATTAAAGCGATAGGCGCTAAGTAGATCCAATCCCAGATGAACAGTTCACTTCTACTCATGTGAGCAACGATTAACCGATTGGTCGCCTATAATACAAAATCATCTAATGAGAAACCGGTTTGGAATTTTACTTTGGTGGCAACAGCTCCAAAAAACAGAACGAAAAGTGTGAAATTCTCCTGGAAAACGTCGCTATTGGACTTGCTGTAAATCATACAGAATGGTATGACGACAGCCATCAATGGGCAAACTGGGAAAAGCACAGAAGTTCCGGCAACTGAAGCAAAAAAAAAAATTCAATTGATACTATCAAATCATTACCTGTCGATCCATTTTTGCCAACTCCTCCGGTCATGATGGTGTATAAGTATCCACCACCTTGATACAAAGTTCCAAGCAGAGAAGAGATGATCACAAGGTGTCTCAACTCAAGCCCGAACAAACCTAAGTCAAAATTAGATTGAAATAAATATAAGCACTACTTACCAATCTTCCAAATACCAGGACCGAAGATACCAGTAGTGAGAAGCATAGAAATCACAGTCATTTGAGCTTCAGTCACATCGAACCGAGCAAATTTGAGCTTTCCAGTACAATAAGTACTCCAATGAGCACAGTAGAATAGAGATAAAGAAAGAACACACACAAGCCAAGCGCTATTCCTTAGTTCACCAAGTTGCAAAGCGTAGCAAACATTCAAAGTGACAAAAACCTAAGTTGTTTTTACTTAGAGGAGAAAACAGAAAGCACAAAATACCTGAGAAATGGAATCACAACCATGATCGAAGAGTTCTCCTAAAGGAGAAGATGTTCCGGTTCGTCGAGATTGCTTTCCATCTTTAAGAATGCAGGAATGGAAAAAAAGAAAGACAACAAACGAATACCTGTAGCATCAAGAGTTTGATACATGAAAAGACCAAGAGCAGCTAATAAATAAGCCCATGAAGGAGCTACTTCGGTGGCAGTTGGACAAAAGTAAGTGAGTATCAACACTGTGAGTAAGTTAACAATTAGTCCTGAAAAAAAAACAGATTAAACAAACAGAAGGAGAACTACCACTGACCTATCAAAGTAATTAAATTGGGAGCAAGCCACATGGGATACAATTCAACAACTTTATCCCAGAAAGTTTTCATGCAAAGCTCATCGAGCCATGAGGTGTCGACTGCAGAATATTTGTGAGCACTCAAACGGCGCAATTCATCGGGAGTCATGAGACAGTCATACTTAAAGTAACAGTACAGAATGAGCTTGAGTCAAATGATATACTTCTAGGTACTGATCGATGTATCTGAATCCAACGAAATCACGTAAAGCAACTTTTTGGCGAGGCTCATATACGAATCTTGAAGATGAGTCATTACCCCATGCCAACAACGTCAACTTACTTTTCCTCTTTTCCCTGCCGGGCAGATGACCGCGTGCTAACGACCATAGTTATCACGCAGGCTTTAATTCCTGCAAGAACAAGAATGAAATCAGATTGTAAATACTCATCAAAAAAGAATAGTAAGGAACCAGAAACGATATGGCAAAAGCTGCGTAAGCGAATTCTATTTCGAGCTAACAAACAGGGAATAGTATGTAAAGTGCAGGCGTCAAGGTCTGTCCTATTCATCACAGGTCGGCAAAATCGCATTCGAGCGCGCTTTCTCGTAAGCGGTGAAAACGTGAAAGACGTGAACGCCTTTTTCCACGTAGCAATTGCAATTTTCATTTTCACCGGTTTCAACTTTGTGAAACGGTTATATACAGCTTGTTCAAAATAATCGGGTTATTGGAAAAGTGAGTTGCAATACTAAGAATGATGCGAGTTATGTGATGTTATGTGGCAGGTTGTATAAACCGTTCAATATGAGCAAAGAACAGGAAGTTAGAAATAATGGCATTAAGAAACAGTTAGAAGAGGACGTGGAACAGGATGATAGAGCAACAACGTCCAATCATCAGACAAAGTCATTGCCGCAAAAGGGTTTCAATTCAGAGACAGATGTCACCCAAAGTATTTATACAAAACGGAAATCAGTAGTATGTTCTTAGTTCGTTTATTTTCATTTCGTAGTCCTTTGTGGAAGATGTTTTATCATCAAAAGTAACGACAACTCGATTTGGGTTATCTTAGATGACAATTACTGATATAATAGTATAGCTAGATTGATGAAGGGATGAGAATACAGAGATAAAGAGAGACAGAGAGAGAAAGAGAATGAAAGAGGAGAAAAGAGATTTTGAGATGAAGTTTCAAGTTAGTCTAAGCATCGGAAAACATAAGCAGATAAAAATGTTGTTCAATCGCGGAAGTCACTTGTTCTTTGATTGAAAAAGCAATAGGAGAAACTATGAAATGAGAAGGAGAGAAGTAGCAGTGGTGATGGTGGCACCACCCAACTTGACCCCGAGGCTGTCTAACAGCCCATTTCGACACACGTTACGGGTTCGACAGTACTTTGTGTCACAGAACTGTCCATCTAGATACATTTAGTTAGAAAGTATGAGCATTTCTATAATATTCAGGAGCAAGAATGATGCTTTAGGCTCGTAAACAGAAAAAAGGGGTATTCGTCATAAATTTGATGACTACCGCCTTATCGAAAGCAAAAAATTGAAACTTTACGATGATTACGCTATCCGCATGGTTTAGTCTCCTTAAAAACTATTTTGGGCTTTAGATAAGGTAGTTGCATGTGAAAAAAGGGTAAATGTTGGAAAATAGTTGTTTTGGCTTGCTAGGGGTTGGACGAAAGGAGACTCCTTTTTTGGAAACTAGTCTTAACTGATTGACTTCGATGAAGATGGGAAAGGACTGGCGCAAACTAAATGATTTCCTCGTTTTTTTTGCAGTCTTATCGGTAATAGTTGGAATGTCAGGTGATTGTTGGATGAATGATTAAGTTGAGAAGGAAATGAGAGAAAGATTACAAAGCTTGGAAGAGGCCTTAAGTACAACATTGCAAAAGTGAACTTTCCTCAGAAAGACTTGTGAAGAAATTATAAGTGACTACTATGAATAAAAGAATTTTACAGAGCGAATATCAATGTGAAACTGGAATGGGATCAGTCTTTCATAGTCTACCTGATGAAGATCCTGAAATAGAGAAAAATGAAATGATAATCGAGGCTTGTACTTTACATTTGAAATATTTGAAAAGAGTAGAAACCATAGAAACATCACCAGACTATGTATAGTTTCATTTGATATTCAACTTCTAGCCTTCTATTTATACAAGGAGAGCTTGAACTGATAATTAATAGTGTTATCTGGGAGTAACTGACAAGTACCTTGAATTGAATCACATATCATCTGTAGATCATATCAAAAAACGAAACAATAGTGATTGCAGAAACTAGGATCAAACTTGACTGATTTGACTTGGTATCACGGAATGATGCCTCGTTGTGATTGTGAGGAATTGCTGACGGTCATTTTTCTTCTAAAACATATGCTCCAAGTCATTAATTGCAGGTTGAAGGAGATTTCCTGGTACGCAGAACAAAAAAGAACAAAATGTCAATCTTTTGCTTATCTGTTTTCACTAAAATGGAAGTTCAACATTTTCCCTTACGTTATGATAAGCTTGAATGGCATCTAAGTGGACTGAAAGGTACAACAGAAAGCAGTTAGTCTTCGAACTCTATCTAAGCCTCAACTCTCGACGCTTTGTTAACTAAACTGATCAACGAAAAGAAATCTCTCGGCTCAACGGAGGCTCAATTGAAGAAGGGGATATCTAGGCCTGATTATTACTTGTTACATGACAATATTACAATTACTTCTAAGTTAGGAGGTGAAGCACTTCTTTATATTTCACAACAACACAATTCAGGGGGAGAGTTTGGTGAGGTTTTCATAGGACAACTCAACGGCAAAAATTCCGTAAAAACTGACGTAGCTGTCAAAAAGATAAAAGGAAGAGTGACGAGAAGGGAAATCAAGAAGTTCATTCAGGTTCAACTCTGCGTCAAAATGATTACATGAGAAACCCTTTTAGGAAGCCAAACTGATGAAACGTTTTTCCCACCCCAACATCGTAAAATTGTACGGAATCGCACCCCAAAGGGAGCCTTTAATGATAGTTTTGGAATTGGCTGCTGGAGGCTCGCTTAAGGTTTCTTTTATATCACCATATGGTCCGTAAAACTGATTTGCAGTACTTTTTCACTAAGAATGAAGTAACGAGGGAACAAATGTTTCATTTTATGTTGGACGCGTGTAGAGGGATGTGTTACTTATCAGTCCGAAAAGTATTTACAAGTTCTAACACAAAAAAACTACTTAATCATTCAAGGTGATTCACAGAGATTTGGCAGCGCGAAATTGTCTTTTGGGAGCGAGAAATGAGTTGAAAATAGGAGATTTTGGACTTTCGATTGCGGATAAGCAGGAGCTGAAACTCACTAACATCAAGGCTGCCCCAATTAAGTGGCTAGCTCCTGAATCGTTTCTGCAAGTATGATTCATTCACTTTCTGACAATAGAGAGTACGTTAACCAGGGTGTTTTCTCAACTAAAACAGATGTATGGAGTTATGGCGTACTAGTATGGGAAATATACAGCAAATGCAAGACAGACCCCTTTCCCAAGTTGACCAACGCTGAGGCAAAAGTGAGAAAATGTAGTGTACGTAGACTGAGTGATATTTAGACTAAAATAATCTCTCAAACACCACCTATGACTCCACCCGAGGAATCCCCTGAAATAGTCCATGTTATAATGGAGAAGTGTTTTGTTAAGGTTTGTCGAGAAAGTTTTCAATATCATCATCTTGGAGTTTGTTAAGGATCCGAAAGCAAGAGCTGATTTCATCCAACTACTTGGTATCCTTGCTCCCAACGAGAAAGTTCAATGAGCTCATCTAACATTAATATGCCTCGAGGAAATATTAAAATCTTCATTACATATACTTTATAATTCTCACAAAAAAACAATTTACATTCAAGTGAGTGGGATTTACTGCTTTGGAGCGATCTTGATGGGGATGGTGCGTGGTTGTTGTTCTGGCTTCTTGTCATATCGAACTGTAAGTACTCCTTCTTTGCTCAGATCACTCTTGATCTCTTCAGCTTTAACGAAAGGAGGGAGTTGGTATTTACGAACAAAATGACGTTCAACCTATAAATGAATCATATATTGAAACTGCATTGAGAACATGAACTCACAGTTCCGTATTTGTCAGACTTCTCTTCATGCTTTCCTTCAATAACGAGTTTGTCATCAACAATGTTCACTTTCAGCTCTTCTGGCTCGAACTGAGATACGTCGACAGAAACGGTATACTCGCGCTCGTTGTCAATGACCTGGAATTGGATGGTTTTAGTCTTGTTTATCGAATTGATCTTACATCTTGAGCTTCTCCAATCTTGTGAGCAGTCAACATACTATGGTCATTCCAATAAGGTCTTTGGAATGGTCGGTCAAATTCGAAGTCATCAAAGAATCGTGTGTTGAAGTTCATCAAAGGAGAGAAAGGTGCTCCGAAACGAAGACGACGATCCATACCTAGAAGTTATAGATTTGAGCGAAATCAAGGTGTCAGATTGTTTCTATGAAAAAGATTTGAAGGACAGAAAGGCAAGACAGCTATAGCGGAAATGAAGTAGCCGTCGACGATGAAACTATTATCTGGTAGACGGCTTCGTCTCCTCAGCTTATATGTATTTGTTTGAGCGGGGGCGAGGGTCAACCTCTAACGAAGTCGTCTTCAATCGTGGAGATAATAATCTTTTTAACAAGCAGAACTGTAAGAAGGAAATTTTAGCAGACGTTTCGAGAACTTCGATCGGTATGCTACAGCAGGAACACAAGAAGCCGAGAGAAAGAAAGCTCTGATTTCATTACTTTTGCTGCCGGTCTGTTTGCTTTGAACGAAAAAGTAGATATTTTAACAGATGATTAGTCATTTTTGAATAGAATCAGGAGAATTCTTTTCAACAGCCAATACACTTTCACAAGAAATGTGAAAGGGAAAAGGATTATAACTCGAAAAACAGAAATGAATGTTACAGCAGGGACAGTGCTTGTCAGATTTCGTACAGACCTCACTTTAAATATATTTTTAGAGTTATATGAGAGAGAGAGAGGATTATGCTAAATACCGTTCTAGAACTTGTCATTTGAATACTCCACCATTTCCGAAGTTTGATTTTTAGTTTGATACTATTCGTCATGGCCACATGCAACGAATTTAGGATTTCCACCCACTCTGTTGCCTCTCGTTCTTCGTACTCTTACTCTCTCATTGTTTTTTTCTCCTTACCTTTAATCCCTTAACACAACTGTAAGTGTGTGAGAGTGATGAAATAGATTTGCAACAACCACTCTTCACATTTCAACAGCAAGTGTGTTACGTAGGTTGTGGTAGATCCAATAGTTCCATAGTTTCATAAATCTTCCGAAGTTTTAACACATCTATAAAGATTGTATACGTATATACTATTCTCTGAGATAGATAGAAGATGAAGATAGTGCAAGATCAAAACAGTCCAGAGATATAAATGTTTTCAAAACAATCAATGTAACACATCCTATTGCCATCAATCGTATTAGCAACACTCCGCTTCTCAGTCTTATCATCAAACACTCAGAAACTCTTCTGCCGGCAACATGCAAAAGCACACGTCTCAACCCAGACATGTCTGATAGAAAGAGAGAAGATATATAAAAATAATGTCCAAGAGTAACAGAGACTGTTCACAAACAAAAGTCTCGACCAGACGAGGTCGAGTTAGCGATAGAGCATTGGATATAAGGAGAGTTGAGGTTAGCAAAGAGAAATGGTACTACCAGGCGAATGGTCAGTAGTGGTCAACAACGCTCATTCGAGGACCTTAAACTGGCAATAGAGGTCGGCTCAGGTCAACGGAGAGTGTTTTAACGTTCTTATATTGCACTTTAGCTTTTCGGCAATTCGATTACATAATTACATTTCCTTTTCGCCCATTTTTTCTTTAACTCATTTTCTGTTTTCCACTTTCGATTCCACCTTGCAAGATACAACAGTCTCATTTCTCCTTTGTTATCCAAACTCCATTCATTTCATTTGTGTTTTGGAGGGAGGCTGAACGGATTGTTTTCCATCATCAAAATAATTTTCACAGAGAAATCTCATATGATTTGACTTAGACATCTTTGGTAAATGAAAGTGTCTGAAATATTTGTTCACTTATCAGTATTAGGTTTTCATTTATTGTTTTATCTGGAGAGGGGGGGGGGGATAAGAGCCTTCATTCTTGTTTGCAGTTGAACGTCTTGATCAACTGCGCGCTCATTCTGTTCTTGAACGAATTTTGACCATCTGTCTGAATGAAATGAAACCAATATTGCTTTCTTATCGTTTTATGAATAATTATAGTCATTAGCAATGGCTTAATTTCATTCATTCAGATGGAATGCATTGAACGAGCATTTTTAAAAAGTCTTTAATGTTAAACAAGAATTGAACAGAAAACAGCTGTTTAATCTGTCTTCTCCCTCTCCTCTCCTTCTCTATCTCCTTTCAAATCTCTTTCTCTTCTTTCCATTTTATATAAAATGAATAATTCTATTGAAGCTTTCATAAGTTCTACATTCTATTTCTTAAACTTATCAATCTAAGAAGTAATTTATATGATAATTAGCCATCTTTAAATGTTAAGAAACGTCATACAATCGTTCATACTGACGACCATACCCCCCCCCCTTCCATTCATATCACCCATGTGATATGTTGTACTGATTCTGTCCTTCTCAGCTATGCAAATCATTGAAACTTCTTGTAGACTTTAATAGAATTCCTGAAAACACTTCTCATGCCATATGTGGAAACAATCGGACAAACAAAACAGAATTTGGGCATGACCCCTCTCTCTCTCCCTCGAAATGATTGTTTCATTCTAGTTGAATGCAACCGCTCTCTGCTTGTTTCCACAGCTAAATGATTACTAAACGAGATTGCAATTGAACCATCAAAGTAATTAGCATATTACACGATTATGCAAATTACGTAATTGATTGAAACAACAGCTTTGTTACCCATGTTATACCTTGCTCTTATGAATATTTAAAATTCGTTTCCATTTTTAGTTTTTCATTCTCAACACGCACGATACCCTATCGAATGATGAGAATCACCTTCGTTTTCAGACTGTTTGATATCTTTTTAACTCAAACGAACACATGGCTTTATTTAAAACGGAACTCCCGTTCATTCCAGAACATTCGTAGTCATTTCAATGTAATTCTTTACAACACAAACCACGGCTGTTGTGCCGTTTTTGTGAATTTCTTTAAAAAAATTGTTAATTTTTGAAATATGTTAGGAACTCCTGCTAAGATTTAATGTTTTCCTATCTATCTTACACAATGTTTCTTCTTCTTCTTCTTTTCACCTTCTATACCATCGTCATCTTCTTTGACTTCATCCATTGCTAGTCAAAAGACAAAATATGTAAAAAGAAGTTTTCTCTTTCTAATCTCAACTTTCTCTTACATGCGATTTTTCCTTTTATTATTGACCGTTCTAGTTGTATTTGACAAATTTTATGTTCATTATGACCCCGATTTCACCCTCGTTTCGCTTTCGTTCATTTCAGTTCCGGATTCAGGTCAGACTGTGTTCAATCTGTTATCCGACAATGGCTTTGTTCCTTCTTGTTCTCACTTTCTTCTCATTCAAATCATCTTTCATGTTATCTTCCTCAATAATATCCTTATCTTCTCCTCATTTTCAATTTTTCCATTTTCCACCAGATAATCCCGTTTGAACTTCAGTTCAGTTTGTATGCATATAATCTACAGATAGTTATAGATCATAGTTCAACTTCACAAGAAAGTTCAGAGTTCATTCAGTTTCGTTTGATTCTCCCTCCTTTCCTCCCTCTTTTCATCTTTCTCTTCTCCTCTCTTTGTTTTGACAATTGGCTTGTTTCTACAATCAATTATCTTGTTCACCTTTTCTTTTTCACTGGATTCCTCTATCTTAGCATCCTATTAAACTCTCTCTGCAAAAGCTATTTCCGTTCTTGATCGAACATGAGAATTCCGGAATGAATGGTCTGATCAATCGTACTACGAAACATAAATATCGTTTCGATCGCATTTTTCTTTGAAATGAGCAATGATGGTCTGATGGCATATTCGACTATGCGTATCGAAAAAGATTTATTCAATTCATTTCCGACTTTGTAAATGTCATTATTAAGATGTATATGACGTCATATCTACTTTGAACTAAGTATCTTGACAGTGATCATCACCTGATTATATTTAAGAATTGCCATTGCCATATACGACGTATCTTCTTTTTATTTTGTTTCAAAGAAACTTTTGACATGGCGTTTTCTTTTTATCTGTCTAGCTCTGACCTTTGCTTGTACTCGGCATGACCAGAGCATAATACAGGTTTTCACTGACTGATTGATTGAACTACAGTTTTATGATCAAAGTTCCTATTTTCTCAACTTTGAAAATTCTCAAAGGCGATCTTATCTTATTTGATTTTCAAGAGAATGCTTTAACAGATGACAAACTTGTCTACTCATTATCACCAAAATTGGAAGTAGACGTGGCGTTAAGCAATCACCTTATGTATAATCTATACATTGGCTTGTCCATGTGTAAATCTGTTCACTCGGAATAGTTTCCCTTTCTCTTTCTCCATTTGTTACTTTCTCTATCCCGCCCTCTCTTATCCTCTTCCTTTCCCTCACACTCTTACCTCCCTGACTCTCTCTCTCCCATCTTTCCACACTTTCGTGATTATCTGCTGAGCTCTTATTGTCCATATCTTTATCCTCATCTCTTTTAATATTTGTATTCGAACTGTCGTACAGAGAGATGAAACGATTTAGCCATGTCCGTGATAATCCATGCATAATTCAAAATACTTTTGTCAAATTTTGAAATCTTTTAAGAACTATATGTTTTCCATACTTGGTAGTTCGTGAGACTCCTTCATAAACATAAATACCTCTCAATAGCTATAATTAGAAATTTATTGTCTGTAATTTAGAGAATTATCTTCTCATCTGATTAGCGCTAGTAGAGAGTTCCTATGAGATGCTTCTAAAAGTTGCGTGTTCAAGTACAATAAGCATGTTTCATCTTTGCAAAATAGATGAAGAGGGTGTAGCTTCCTCTCATACAATCTTTAAAGACCAATACCTTATTCTTCCGCTTATAATGTGCAGAGTGTGTGTTGTTTCGTTTAAAACTGTCTTCACTTCATATGAAACTGTTTGATACATCTGACTTCTCTGTGAAGTTTGTACACTACTACTACTCTCTCTTTCCCATGTTCTTCCCTTTTCTCAACATCTTTTCGAACGATTTGATTCTCTCGTAGAGCGTCTGTTTCTCTACTTTCTATCTTTATTACCTCACTTTCCTTTTCTCGTTGGATGTTTGTCTTTTCACTTCTACGCCGTCACGACGTCAGCACACGCGCATTTAGTGAATAAAGAGCTGCTCGTGTGTTGTTGCTCTTCTTACAATCGGTTACAGTCTTTCTCGACCTCACTT